AAAATAAAAATTTTTGATGTTGACATATTGAAATGAAAAACAGACTGTTTTAAGATTTTGTTCCAGAATCTTGTTTTGGCCAAAGATATTTGCATTTACATTTAAAATGCTGCCACTGCTGGAAATGTACAACAGGTCAGTTTATCATCACTCACCATCTCCAATTAGAATTTTCCTAATTATTCTTTGGCTGATAAGCCCTTATGAATTTGACAGTGACTTTTTTACACTCAATATTTTATAATATTTATAATTTTATTTTCAAAAATGTTGCTGTGAAGCTTGGAATAGAAAGTGCTGTCCAATTCTAAATAGTTTGAACAGGCAGATTTTTAGTTAAATTTCTTGTCACTTTAAACTATAATACATTATCCTATAGTTTGCAGTATTTCAACATCTTCAACATAATGTGCTTTTCAACTCAGGGTTTATTTTTAACAGCATATTTATTCTCCAGGGTTTATTTGAATTCTGGGTTTAACTCTTTAAACATGAAATCAGCCAAAATCAGCCTTACCTGTTAAAAACAAAATCAGCTGATTGAAAAATTGTTAAACTAGTTTTACTATACAAGTTTTCCTTGCAGCCCGAGGGGTAAAAACAATTTGGTTATTAGCAACAGAGGTAGAGTGAGTTTTCAGAGCTTAAATAGTTAAGTTTAATCTTAGGATTTAGTTATATATAACACCTACAGAAAGTAAAAATCTTCATCCCACTTTCTCTTTTCAAAATATTCATTTTTCATTACACTGTTCTCAAAAATAAATTGAATGTAATGTGGACTTCCACATTACATTCACCATTTTTCTTTTCCAATATCCCAGTAGTCAACATTTGTGTTCACTCAGGAACACCACTGGTTGTATCAGTTCTGGCAGCATCTCACTGAATTAATACCAAGATTGTGAATATGCTCATTTCTTTAAGTTATGCTGAATGTAGGTCGAGTTAATGGGGTGGTCTATTGATAATGTCAATTTAATTAGGTTTCCTCCTAAAAATAATACAATAAACCGTCCAAAATATACAAAAAATGTCAAGATAGCAGGATTCCAGTTTTTTAAACAATACAATTAAAACCTAAATATTAATTCCCTTACTGTTATTTAATATTTATTTTCTTATAACAATTATCAGTACATATATATATTTCAAGGGAATAATGAATATTTTGCACTACTGATGGAAACCTGTTGCAGTAAAATAGTGAACTTTGTAGTTACAAACAACAGATTTATAACTGAGCTAACATGGCAAATCTGGTGAATTTTTCCTCTGGAATAAAGAAAAAATATTTGTAGCATGGTAGGATGTAATAATTCACACAGTTATACAAGAGAGGTAGTTTTTTCCAAATGAAAAAACAACCCAGTTGAAAGGCATGAATTAATGCTGTATGGAGGATTTACTTTTATTTGTCTATCTTCATTAATCATAAAAGCATTCCTAAGTGTTGATGGACAATTTATTTCCAATAAACAGAAATATCTGTCATTATCTCTGATAATTCCATCTGAAAAACAGCATACCCATGGCATATCTGGACAATGCACTCTTCATTGAGCAGTTATCTAAAGAGTTTTCTATCAGTATACTCTATTTGGATCAGATGGGGATGAGTTGGTTTGTTTTCCTGTATCTTTTTCTTATTCCAAAAACGTGGCTAAGCCCTGTTGCGTGTGTGTGTATTCCTTTTTTAAAGTTGCTGGTTCATTTCAAGCTTGTGGTAAACTTGTTTTTGATTCTTTTTTTGCTTCTTCACTAAAAAAAAAAATGTGCTGCATTTTTCCCTCTACTAAGAAGTCCTCCCCTGTTTGAGCAAAAGGCATTAATAATTTTCCATTGGTCATTAAGCTGAAAAATAATATAATGCCATTAAGTTAATATGTTTATGTTGATTCTTTTATCAGTTCTCTTATGTCCTATGTTGATATAACAGCAAGTCTTGCTTGTACAGTATTTTTTCTTTTGCAAAAAACATTAAAGAGATTTTTTAAATTTTTGCATTATTTTTATTAAAATAAAATGTACATTTTTATAAAATTAAATTTCAATTAAATTTTTAAAAAATGATCAAACGAGATGTAATATAGATGATTAACTTTCCTCTGGGCAACTTACGTGTAATGGAATTTGTTAGCTAGATTTATATATGTGCATTTGTGAAACACATTTAACAAAAGCTGTATATTTTTAAATATTTTGAGCAACATTATGAAAATAGCCTGTTTATTTTAATTGTTCCCTGTTCTAATGGATTTTCTACAAAAAATATCCTCCAAAGTGACAGGAAATAAAATTATGTTCATTGCACCTATGTACATACACGTGTTTGTAATTATTTTTCAAATTTTTACCACAAGAGGGCACTTTACTGTAGTACCATCTGATTTAGGCAGGAAGCATATATTCCCCATGTCAATTATTCCTTGTATTCAAGTTTCATGCTCAAAGTCAGCAGGGTTAATGTCATCCTAATGAAACAAAACTTCATATGAGTAATTTTGACCAAATGCAAAAAATTTAGGAAGTGGCTACAAACATTTTGACAAAAAAAATTTTACATCAAAATAAGGGACACCCTAATATACATATACACCATGAAATGTGAAGTAATAAAAGTTAAATATAACTACATAGTAGTTAAATCTACAGAGACTTATTTTCACTAAACAGGAAATTACGTCACAATTTTTAATCTCGTTCTATAAGCTTTAAACGCAAGGGATAATAATGGTAATACAGTAGAGTCTCGAAAACTCGGCACTCAATAACCCGGCAGTCCGGATAACTCGACCACACCCTGGCAGGGCAAAAAAGTCCTTAGTTAATTAATTTTCATTATAGACAGCTTTATGCCTCAAAGTATTTTTCTGAGGTCTGTCTTATCAGGTAAATTACTGTACACAGTGTATTCATTAATTTTCATTTTCATGTAGTAAAGGCTCTATGCCTTCATAAAGGACGTACTTTTCCTTTGTTTAACGGTATTTGGGCAGTTTATTCTCCGTTATATTCTCAAGCAAACAATACATACAAGTACAGTACAGTATTTTCTGAGGAAACACTCATACTTATTTTTTTTAACCCCATTCCCGATAATCCGGCATTTTCACAAACTTGGCCACTTTGGTCCACATTAGGCCGAGTTTGAGACTCTACTGTAATAATACTAATGATAAAGTAAAATAATAGTTACACACAAAAAAGAACTAAACTAAAATTTGAAAGGTTCAAACCTATGTCGTCTGGCATGTGCTTAATGCCTTATCCATAAAGCCTTTTAGCACCCATAGGGAAGGAAGAATTAACAAAGATGTGCTCTTAAATAGTTAATTTAAACTCAACAAGTTTTGTTTGAATCTGAGGTCCAAACATCCAGCCCTCTCCTTATTCAAAAATGATTTCTATTGCTAACAACTTTTTAAGGAATAATTCCAAACACCACATTTGATCACACATTTAAACAGTATTTTACATGTTCTATCAAAATTTGTTTTCATCTACTAAAAAGTGATTAAAATAAAAAAAAAAATCACTCCAAAAAAATTCTCCAAATTTTCTGTCGGTTGATAAAAAAACAACCAATCCAGAAACCCTGGTGGCAGCGCACAAAAGCAGCTTTCAGTTCTCGACATCACTTCTCTGTTCAAACTTGCTGCACGACATGACAAAATCACTAGGCTTGGTGCACAAAACATGCGACACATGGGAGCTAGACATTCTGCCGTTTTTTCCAAGTGTGCTTTGCACTTCATTTTCATGCCAAATGTCAAAATGAGCGGACTAGAGTTTTTATCACCACTGCCCATTGCCAGTATTATGTTTTTACTGTCACTTCAATAAAAATATCACAAAGTGGCAATTTTGGCACTATGCAGGGCAATCCCTACATGCATACGTGCACGTGCATTTAACACATACACACCGTAAATACTTTTAATTACATTAAATTATAAAAGTATTCATAAAGCATCAAACTTTTAGATTCTCCATTAAAATGTTAGTACAGTCAATCCCCCTATAACACTGTTGATAATTCCGTTTTATATGAATTCCATGTTGTACAAGTCACTTAGATTTTATAAATACGTGTGCCGGGCTGTGAACGGCTTGCGTATTTGTAAAATCTAAGTGACTCGTACAACATGGAATTCATATAAAACGGAATTATCAACAGTGTTATAGGGGGTCGACTGTAATTCTAGCAATCGAGGAAAAAACAATTTTTATAAAAATTATTTTATGAGCAATATTTATGCAATCCAAACAGATACATATGTAATTTTTATGTTTTATTTTCTTATTGAATAGAATTATTTATAAAACTAAAGAACAGTTAGAAAAACAACAGATTTGAACAGTCATCTTGAAAAGCTTTTACATTTCACTCAAACTGCCCACACACCATCATAGACAACTCTGCATTACTACATATGTTATATTACTTCTAACTCAATGATTCACTATAAAAAAGTTTCACTAGTAAAAATTTTCAGAATTTCACATACATTCTTATAAAACTTTAGAACGATATCTAAAGTTTTATAAGAATATTAGCATAAACACCACCAGTAAACTCTCTACCTAATCATATAACAGACAACTGGAAACAAAATGTAGATTAACAAAATGGAATAAATTTCCAACACTTTCTTACCAAAGAACAGAGATTTATTCAACTTAACGATTAGAATCATGAATAATGGTGAACATCATTTCCAAAGGAATAAATTACTTCAGAGTCAGATAACTTATTGGGAGAATCAACTATCAATTTGAAAACAAAAGTAAAGCATTGATCTTCAACACAAAAATCCAATACCGTTAGGCCTAGCATCTTCAGAACAAAAGCATTCTTTTAATCGGCTACATCTGACACAAAGAATTCTTACGTATCGTCCAAAATAAGAATACGATATATTCGAATTAACATTATTTAAATATATTCGGGCGTTTCATAGAATATCTTATCTTTTTTTATATAACTTCGGTCTTACCTGGAAAGCTGTATTCACACCAGCACACCTCTAAGAGAGCGAGAAAGACAGATTGTGTTTTTTGCCGCTATAGTCGCATTGGCGCTAATATCTGATCACATGATCACAGACGCATTTTGTACGCAACGAGGTAATTCTAAACGCGATTAAATTTAAATACGTTTTTTTCGAAAAATTCCATTAAATCATTTTTCTTACAAAAATTTCAAAAATTAATACGGGGATATTAATTATATATTAAGAATTTCTCAAAATATCGCATTACGACATTCACGTTACAAACTACGTGTCAAATGAAATGTTTATGTATCTTAAGTTTAATTTAAATTACGTATTTATATAAAATTGTCACAATTATATTATAATTATGAATAAATCATAAACGAACGATAAAGTATTGTTTAGAAATTTTCTGTAATATTAAGACACTCGAAATTTATTTTTTGAAGATATTTTAGAGACATCGATATCAAAAGGTTAAAACTATGCGGTTGAACTTGTCTTAAGATTTATTTTTAGTAAAGTGAATCAAGAGTTTTTGGCTGTCTTTTTAGAATACGAAGAAGATAAATTAAACTGTAGAAAATCTTTGCTTCCTCTGTATTAGAAATAAATCTTAAGATAAAAAACTTAAAATGTGTACTATTTAATACGCTTCCTCGGAATAAAAGAAAATGGTGAATTAATGATTATCAACATCCAACGATCGCCTAAATCAGGCATGGCCAACATACGGTCCGCGGGCCGGATCCAGCCCGTCTAATGAATTTATGCGGCCCGCGATCAATCTTTTAATAATAGCTAGTTAAGTCCGAATAGCCCGATGAAAAATTCTGTCGCCTAAAAAAAAGTCAACAACTCACTGTGAGTTTAGAGTTAACGCTTCACAGTGGCGTACCGTGGGTGTCAGCCGCCCGGGGCGGAGGAAATTTCGTCCCCACTTATTTAGGTATTTCAATTTAAAAGACCAAAATTCAGTTTTGTCACAGAACAAGCAATGAAAAATTCGGTGGTAGTGCAGCGACCTGTTTAAAATAGTACTATTGGATATTAGCGGTGTATATGAACGCTAATGAATCGTACAAGTAAGAAAGAAAAAAAAAGGTCAACAGGTTTCGCGGGAATTCCTAGGATGAAAAAGTTACTAGTTCAACGGGCGAGCCGATTTACTAGACAATACTATCGATACTTCGCCAAACGATAGCACTATCGTAGGCGCGATGCAAGTATAGATTAGGATGTTTCAAATTTTTTCAAGATATTATTATTATTTATTGTGAAATTTTGCCGCCCCCTAAAAAGTGCCGCCCCACTACGGTACGCCACTGCGGGTGAATAAAACCGCCGAACACTATTAAGGAGTTTGCGCCTGACCAACCGGCTAGCCACGTGAATTTTTTCTGGTTTTCTTCACGTATATAATACGAAAGAAGGAGCCAATTTCCCATAGAAAGTCATCTCGGGAGGCATTCTTGACAGATCACCAACGTGTTCCATTGCCGTATCCCATTAAAACAATCCTACAACAATCTATAATTTACGCTTGAGAAACCGTGAGATTCTTATTTGAATTTGAACCTGGATCGTGATAATGGAAGAATTCTCAACAGTGATCTCATTACTAAACCACCATGACAGTTCTAAGTCAACAAGAATAGTTTTATAGTTAGACTGATTACTGTATATATATTTTAATATGCAATTAATACTAAATATACTCGTAATTAATTTAATAAATGTCATGCCTAATATTTGACTTATAATTATTATTTGCAAAAATTATTCTACATCGTGATTTGCAAGTTATATAAAAAAAANAGTCACAATCCAAATTGTAGGCAAATCGAGATCAAAGCAAGTCGTGGATTGTGTGCGAACGTAGTGTAACATTTCAACATCAGATAGGTTACAGCTGGAATTACTATATATGTTTGTTTTGTTATGACAATCTGCCTAGGGGAAATACCTTCCGGGAGGTCTTTTTTAAGAGTAACTGGCCCTCTATTCAGGCATTAGATATGGAGAAAACCCAGAAAATGCCACATGGCCAGCCTGTCCTGGCAAGAACCCACAACTGAACTCCCAGTATTCAGGAAACAGAACCACTTGGCCACCAGTGGGCTGAATTACTACATAAGTGACAACAAACCAGGGCTGTGGAGTCGGAGTCGTGGAGTTTTGGCCAGAGTCGGAGTCGTCAAAAAATCCGCCGACTCCAACTCCCTTTTTACTTACCAACTTGTTATGTATATGAAACGGAGTCGGAGTCGGAGTCGGAGTCGTCAAAAAATCCGCCGACTCCAACTCCCTTTTTACTTACCAACTTGTTATGTATATGAGTCAGAGTCGGATGGTAAGGAAAAGTCGGAGTCTGTAGATTTTTATGCGACTCCACAGCACTGCAACAAACTGACCTTTTATACATTTCCAGCAGCAACAGCATTTTCAGCCAACATAACACCAGTTCATCTTTATTCATGACACATCCTGTGACCTGCCTCAACACAAAATTGCAGAATTCAGATCATTAGTGAAAAGAGCTTTTATGGCATTACTCAAACTTGTGTCATCAACAAAGAGCTAGAGTACATTAATGTACAGTACATACATCGCTTGAAGACATGGATTTAACAAAGTGCTGGTTTCTGCTTTAGCCAAAAAATTTATGAGTGTGACTATACAATAACACAACAAACAATAAAAATCAAATACTACAAGAAACAAATAAGAAGCAAATTGTGGTGAATATCCACCCCAACTTTATTGATAGATAAAGCAAATAGCAAGTTACATCAATACGTCAAATTGTTTTAAAATTAAACCAAACAATCTTCAGACTCCTCATGAGTACAAAGGACAAACAGCACAAAACCTTTCTCACTAATTTCTAGCCTTATTAACTGGAGTACAAACGTTTTCGGCCTTCTTAATAGGCCTTCCTCGGGTACACTGTGGAGCGTCGGTTGGAAGAAGTTTAAATGCTGCCAATGTTTACCCAGGTGTCGTCTTACCCGTGACGTCTTCGTCGATGATAGGTATACGACACCAGGGAGAAAAATAACATACTTTTGGTAAAGAAGGGAGGTGTGCAGATAGGATACTTGCTAAAGTTGGGGAAAAAAGATTTTAGAGTAAGCGCGCTACGTACAGGAGATGCACAATCACCACAGGGGG